TTTTCCAGCCTGGCCCTATATCAGCTAACATTGCCCGTCGAGGAAGGCGATGACTAGGCATACGTAGCACATGTCCTAACCATCTCAGTCGAAGTAATTTCACCGTTTCGTCGATTGATTTCCCCGCCTTACCTAGCACTCGACGCCTAACCTCAATATTGCTCACCTTATTATACCACTTCACACGGGAGAGAGAACGCAGACACCTATGATCGAAGACAGCTAATCTTTTCATGTCTTCTGCTCTCAATGGCCAGGTCTCACAGCCATAAAGGAGGACGGAGCGGACTGTTGAGCAGTACACACGCCCTTTGGTCGATAGTCGGATATCGCGTCTACGCCAGAGACGGCGAAAACTGGCGAATGCGAACCTAGCCCTCTGTATTCGTGCTGAAATTTCGTCTGAGATCAACCCGTTGGCACTGGCTGATGGTACTTCCCAAGTAATTGAAGCGGTCAACGTGTTCTACCACTTCACTTCCTATTTCTAATCTAGGGGTCGATGAAGTCCAATCCTGCAGCATCATCTTACATTTTACAGGGGCGAATCGCATGCCAAACATACGGAGATTGTTGCTCAGGGTGTTCAGTAGACTCTGCATTTTGTCAGAGTCCTCGCCTAGAAGGACTATATCGTCCGCATATTCTAAGTCAACGAGATTATTCCCTGGTAGCAAGTCAATCCCTGAGTCGCTGAAGTGTGATAGGGTTAAATCCATTAGTACGTCTATGATGAAATTGAATAGGAATGGGGATAATGGGCATCCTTGACGGACGCCACTAGTCGTCACCACTTCAGATGACAACTCGCCATAAGCCCTCACCTGGCTGCATGAGTATGAGTAGAGTGCCTTAATCAGTGCAATGTATTTTCTTGGCATTCCCTTTACAGCCAAGCATCGCCAGAGAACCTCCCGGTCGACAGAATCGAAAGCCGCCTTTAGGTCAAGAAATATAATGATTGTCGGACGCCGGTAGGAATGCCTATGTTCTAGAATCTGTCGAAGGGTGAAGATGTGATCAATACACCCTCTACCTGGCCTAAAACCTGCCTGGTTTTCTCGTGTTTGTGTCTCCCGAGCACCACTTAGTCTACGCAGTATTATTGAGCCTAGGATTTTAGATACTATATTAGTCAAGCTAATCCCTCTGTGATTATCACAAGACGACTTGTCCCCCTTCTTGTATATCGGGATGATCAGTGACTTACACCAACCCGATGGGACTTCCTCTGATTCCCAGACGCTGCCTAGAACCTCCGTTAACGCAGACAGTAAACTGTCTCCTCCGTACTTAAATACCTCTGGAGTCAATAAATCAGGTCCCGCTGCTTTGCCTAGCTTCAGATTGGTGACAGCTTTAGTAACCTCAGTTAAGGACGGAGGACCTGTGTCTATCTCCCATTCAGGGAGGTGTTGGATGTCCGGCAGGTTAAGTGTGGCTGTGGGCCAATTAAACTGCTCTTCATAGTGTTCTTTCCAGCGCTCCAGACGTCTATCCTGGGAGCTAATTATGGTGCCATTTTTCTCGGAGATTGTTTCGCTTATCATTTGCCTTTTACCACCTGTTTCCCTGATAAGCCTGAATAGTTGTCTGGTGTTGCCTATCGCCGATGCTTTTTCCATCTCTTTCGCCTTTGTCAACCACCACTGTTCACGGTCCTTGCGGAGACTTTTCGTAAGTTTCTTTTTGTGCAGCTTTCGCTCCTCATTGAATTCGGAGCTCGCCGGTATAAGTCTTCTAGCATCTATCAGTTCGGATGAGGCAGTCGAAATCCAATGGTTTTTACTCACCTTTGGATTTACCTTATTCACAGCTATTACAGCTGTATCTATGGCTGACTGAATATTTTTCCAGGCTTCTTCAGGGTGAGCGCAGCTGTCGAACTCAGATATGTGGTTGAACAATGATCAAGAATGGGAAAATACTGGTTAAATCATGGTCAAACAATAATCGAAACGGGAGAAATTACGGTATATAACCTAAATCCGCCCATATTTTCTGTTGACCAAGCCCATGATTAGCAAATTATACACCCAGTTTCGTCCGATTGGATAAAAGAAATAAATTGTACTATGTCACGGAAACAAAGGCAATTTGTCTCTTAAATCAATCGCTTTTTGTAATCGAGTTATTGGAGACTTCTAATTAGTGTTTCCAGTAGTAATAAACAAAATTATATATATATATATATATATATATATATGTCCAAACCAAGTTCACTTTTAACAGTGTGAAAAAAATTGGGTAGTGGGTATACATGATATTCATTATTATGAAAGTTACAAACATATTTCATTGTAGCAGATCTAGGAGATAAACGGCGAATTTAGATAATATACTCTGGTTAAGCACCTAAGATACACAAAGTGTTTTATATGATGCAATAACTGAAATGAAGATATCTTATTCGGATCCTGTAAATTACACCGAAGTCTCTTATCATCCCACTTATTATTAAACAAATCGGTATGCACTAATGAGAAATAATTCTTATCACGCTTCTACACCACATCGATTTAACTATAAGTTTTACTTAAGTGCGGGGGGCAGAGAAAAACAAAAAAATTAAAAGTCAAATATCAGTAGGAGTTACTACTTGTGTCCATAAAAGTTTTAACTCTCGAGAAATAAACTGCGTCAACCCGATCTGGCAGAAGTCAGGGATTGGTAGTTTTTTACTCAAAGAAATGATATCATATCAAAATTCAAATAACTTGTGTGACAGCGTCTGAAATTTATTTTCAGGTAGTTAAATCCTAGAAAAAGCATCAGAATAAACACCAATAATACTAATTATCACCATTCTAGCTAAAGACTGTGTCTTACTCCATCTATTTGAGAAGTTAAACTATCAGAGCCAAACTCAAGGTCTGTAAAAAGTTGGGCTTTAAAGAACAATCAGACATAGGGAGCACAATGGAAAGCCATTCCAGATCAAACCATGCCTGACATTTTGAATATCGTGAGGTTAGATACAGTATTCTCCTTATCCCACAGGTATTCGTCTGTAATTCTTTACTCCTAGTTAGGGTTACGTATCTTAAATGTAGGTTAAGTTATATATAGGATTAAGGTTAGGATTAGGCTTAAAGTCAGAATTAGGAGTAAGAATTATGTTTAGAGTTAGGAGTAGGAGTAGGTTAAAGAACAGTGTCAGAAATATCAATCGATCTCAGTCCCACGATCAACAGCCACTAGGATAAATACATCTACCGCGCATGGAATGATTTCTCTATAGATAATCAACGTAGTCACTGGGAGACATTCTTACAACACAACAGAGACAATCATTTAGTGTAATATCATGTTTTTAGTAGTTCTTAGCGCATTTTTCAACGATTATGCGACCTGTTTTGCATCTGAATTCTGATTGGTCATTCAAAGTCAATATGATTTTGACTATGCGTCAGTGGCACAGCGTCAGAATGCTCGCCGACCACGCCTCACGTGGTCCGAAGTTCGATCCTCGGCCGATGCACTCCTTTACCTCGACAGACCAGTAATAAGACTGATTGGGCATACGGCTAACAACCCCATCCCGTAAAACTAAACACCACTGCTACCGGAACTTCAAGTCTCTAGAGTGAAACCCTATGTTCCACTGAAGGAATAACAAAAAAATGATTTTGACTATGATAGTTTAATTATGCCATCTACTTTCTGATTTAATGGCCTAAAAGCTGACACTTCTAAGTGTCTGACATGTATGAAACCTGGTTAATATCGGTAAAATAAAACATGTAAACCTATAGGATTTTAATGGAAGCAAATACTGAAAAGCATAACTGCGAATAAGAAAACATAGGATAAACTAGTGAAAAATATGTACAAATTATCATCAACACTATCTCCTGAGAAGAATATAGGACTTTCTGCTAGAACCTACAAGTTACATCATGTCACTCTTTGCTGGTGCTTAACATTCAAACGTCCCTGTTGCCGTCACTTTAGTCTTATAAAAAGATATTCTTAAGAAATAAAAGAACATTACTAATTATTTATAAGACAAGAAGTAAATTCTAAGGCATATCAAGTAGCACGACAACTTTACAATTATTCGCAAATACACATTTTGTGTATTATCATTTATCTTGATAGCCTCCTATCATGGGTTTTTGTCCCTTTGTCGTTGCTGTCACTGCTATTCTCAGAATTACTGTGTTTTTTCTCTCAATTTCTGCTAACCGAAACAAACCATAGTGTTTTACAACTAACTAGTCTTGAAAATGATTGTTTATAGTGTAATCCGCACATCTCAAAAGTAAAACTACTGATCATGAAAGGAAAAGAGAGAGAGAATACACAGTTGTGGCTACTTGTATTGAGTTTGTTTCACTATACTTTACTATAGTGGATATAAACTAGTGAGATTTATATAACGCAAGCACATAAATCTAAGGACTGTGAAAGATGAAAAAGTTTTCCATTGACAGAGACATTTGAATTACAATTGGCGGAGCGATCCATGATGGTGAGAAGTGAGTAGACCTGTGAACGAATTGAAACGCAAAATCGATATTTCAGTGAATATTATCACTTGTTAGGTCCCAAAAGGCTCACAGTATTAAAAAGTACGCTACCGTATTACATAATCAGAACATCAAACACACATTGTGGAATCCCAATATGAAGCAAGAGAATTCATATATATATATATATATACAACCATATATACGTATACATATACATATGTACATATATATCTATACGTATCAAATGCAGCTGAGGGAACTTTATTGTTCTACTCACTTCCAAATCAAAAAGAAATAGACAGATTAGCAAAAGGTTAATATGTTATTTTTCGGCCATTAAAATATTATCTAGAAGATAAGACATATAATGGGAATTAATTAAACCACTCCCTAATATATATTTACTAACAGACATTCTCCCTCCCCACTACCTTTACGACTACTTTCGCAGTCACTTTTATTAAAGCCACCCGATTAATTGCGAATAAAGATAGACTGTACACAGAAATGAAGAGAGAAACAAACCTGCTGAATATAATCACCGTTAGCGCAATAACCTAAAAGAATTAAGCACAGCGCCTTCGATATATTCAATATCTTGTGACCAATAAAATGGTTCTTCGTGATACCTTGAAGATTGAAGTGATGCTGACAAAATCTAGATATTTATTGCATCGAATCACGTGCTAATGAGTGCCAGAGTAAGACAATTACACTTTTCTCTAATTTGGATACCCTCGTGAGGTTTTCTGCATACTTATCAAATTCCTCTAAGCACAGTTAAAGTTTACCAAATATTGTCATTATAAGAGTCATGATTAGGTCCAACAGGACGCCTAATACGTCAGTGATAAGAACTTCTGAGCTGTCCCTTTCAAATGAAATCTGAAGTTTCAGTCATTTATGTGTGATGAGGAACTTAACTTTATTGATTGTCAAAAAACACAATTACTTGTTTACTTGTCAACCGGAATGTAAGCTGTATGTCATCGCTACATTTGAAAATCACGATGAGAATTAACCGGAAATACGTATTTGCCCAAATCGTGTTCTGTAACGTTCCTATACAGCCATGTCCTCATCATGTTGCTTATAAGAAGCTGGAGGAAAATCCTTCTGGATATTCTTACGCCGGTTTGGGCATAAGGTATTAGGTTGATGGTTGACTTAGTAAAGCACCCGGAAAATATAAGAATGTGTCACTGTCTACTCTGCTTTTATGGTTGTTAGCGTGTGCTGTCTATCACGTAAACACTGCTAGGTCCAGGGTTTCGTTAAGAGAAGCCTCATTGGCTTATTCAGTCTCTTGTGCACTAAGCTGCTTAACGTAACTTTTGTTTTTCACGTCCATCGCGGATGTCAGTGCTTTATCAGCACTAATTTTGTTCACCAAAGTGAATTGAACCGGGGTTTCTATCGGGACGTCTATATAACAGTCATGCATTAAGTCGCTCTTCAACTCCCAGCGCACATTGACAATGATTTTAACTACACCTTAACCAACGCTACGTGCACTTAAAATACTTTAGCGTGTCTTTGCCTATAACAGGAAAAATCCACTGTTGTGGATTAACTGCCTGAGAAATCTGATTCTGTCGGTCATTTAACCTCCTTCACTAAAAATCAAAAGAACCTCCCAATCGGACTTCTGTCACAAACCACTGACATGGCTTCAGGTGCTGCATCAGTAGCAGCACCTTCCTCCAAAGTTCAAACACACAGCATTTGCCCGTCTGCGGCACGGGTGCTGTAAATTCAGATAATTCGAAGGTTGAAGGCAATGCTGAACACCTTTTTCTTGTACTTTATCCTCCATTAGGCAAATATTCCGTTGTTGTTTTTGTTGGAGACAATTATCACTGAAATATCACTTGTCTACCTCACGAAAATCTTGATTATCTTAGTACAACTAGACTCTTTTTTATGTTAAATACCTAGGCCTCTAAGAAACTAAAACTTAATCTTTTCATTCATATTTTTCGCTGGCTTAAAATCTTGTTACTCTGGGGGAAAAACACATAACTGCAACACAAATGTTTGAACGAAGCTATTTTTGCGCTCAAAAGGTCTAAGTTTCCTCGGTAGGACCAATTAGGCTAGCAATAAACATAACAAATGTATATCATCACTCTGCCTCCTTCTTGTATATATCATGCAAATGTACCTCCAATGATGTGTTATCCCTGATTGTATTTTGCACCACTTCGCAGCTTCTCAGGACGTTATACTCTTCTTGAAATAGCTTTTAATCACCTGGGGGCATATCACTCACATGGTCACATGACCATAACTATCAGCATGAAAAGGAATGAAGTTTGTGTTGTCAATCAACTTTGATAGTGACCTTAGGGAATGGATTACAATTTGAAATTGATGCGAACCTGTTCTGAATGCATGTACAATAAATCAACCACTTTTGAAAAGTGCTAATTTATCATATACCACGAGTGTAATTCATAACATATCTGATCCTTATGGAACATTCACGGAGTGACTTTATTGCATATCCCCTCAATGACGCTTGTCGCTATTGGTTTCAAGTGGCCTTGGTTTTGGGGGAAGATTTAACTGATGTAATATTGTGATTTCATAGACATAACTCAGGCTCATACGTGAAAGAAAGTTGTTATCCTGTAATAAGGATAAGTTGTTCAGAAAGTAAGGAGGACGTTATTTTTCAGTTTATTTGTGTATATACTATTGTGCACCGAGTTGCATTGAGTTCTTAGTGTAACTCTATGTAACTGCATTTACATAAAGTGAAACATTACGAATGCTCCTGTTTCGAGAATAAAATACATTATTATCACTATCATTAAGTTTAGTAATGAAGAATGGAATTTCTTCAACGTCAATGTTATTTAATTGAAGTTGTAATCTGTGTAGGCCCTTGGAGGAATAAATTCGGCATGGAGAACTCCTATGTAAACCGAAAGTGCTTTCAGTTTAATAAATCTTACTGACTTCCTGCATAAATTTGATATTTTTCAAGTGTTCATTTAAAATCTGCTGGAGTATTCAGTAAAGTAAAAGTTGTAGTGAATAATTCCAAGACTTGTTGTAGTCATTGGTATTGCCAGGATACCACTTACTCCTTTTATGCAGCCGAAATATACAAATCTCGCTTTATTGAGGAAACACTATAATGCCTGCAAAAGTATTGCGTCAGTTAATGAGTTTCATAAATTCTACAGAATGTTTTCTATTCTTTGAGTAATATTTGCGAATTTTTCGAGATAACACATTTCCAATAGGGATGTAACACAAGGCTGAATTCTTAAACTGTCATCCTTATATAATTTCAATCCAACCACACATACACAGTAGGATAGTCTATAAATGACTTTGGAGAATTATCATCATCATCAACTTACAGTTTGCTGATGATGCTGTACACTTAGACTATGAGAAGTAAACCCTGATACTGGAAGATATGAAAAGAATACCGGTGTTCGATTATAGGTGTCTGTGTTCTATCTTATGAGTAAAGCAGTATAATATGGCGTTTGCTGTTGAGGTTACGCATAAGGTGTTAGGTGAGGAGGGTAAGTTAGTCTTCAAGGTATGGAAGCTGAATAGGTTGAGATGGCTATAACACGTGATGGCATATCAAGCCATCGCCTTCCTTGAACTGTGTTGATTTTGTTAAGAATAGTCATCAAAAGCTGTCTCTAAGCCTGAAGGCAGTTATGGTGCAGGAGGATGCTTGAGAATGTGTTTCATGTGAAAATTATAGGGTGCACCTGAAATTCTTGTTTGTGGCGTCCCCATGATTTCTGCAGAGCTTCGTTTTATCACTTGTGTCCATATTTGTCGTTCACGAGTGTTTCAGTAAATGTTTGTTTCTATAATCAGGAACCTTCCAAAACGGTAATTGTGTTAAGGAATTTATTTTTTTCCGCTATAGTTTCCAAGTCAATGTCACTTTCATGTTGCTTATTGTACTCTGTTGGCTATTCGTGAATTTTTAATTCAAAAGCTTCTGTTTTCATTTACAGTGGTACTGAATGAACGCATTGGGAGCTGGAGATAATGGTAGCCAACCTGTTCTTCCTATATCAGTGGATATCAAAAAACCTTTTAACGGAATTATGTTTAGTCACCAGTATACCATTTGGGTTCAAGTAGAAGATGCCCTAAGTCAACTGGAATCAGTAATATATATGTATGACAGAGTATTCCTAGGCAACTCATACACATTATGTAATCAAAAAGTGCATACGGAACCATGAATCTCAGGAGTTGAAGTACAAATTAGTAGTCTTTCGTTGTACACATGGCATGAAGCGAAAAACTACAGGTTCAGGTTTACGCATCAAACCGTAAGAATTCTATTATTTATTTCTGCAGTGCAAAATACACCGGTTGTCAATATGGCTTTCGTATACGCTACAACGAGGTAGAGTTTATCATTTCTTCCGCGCATTCAGTTCACAATCACAGATGTGAACAAAGTTTTATGATAGGTGATCCATATTTTAGACGCCTCTCCGGGGATGAAAAGGAGAATATTGCACCAGTAGTGAAGACTACATCTGAGGTTGGTGATGTTTTGGAATATGATGAAGAGAATTTTAATAAAATTTTGACGAGCACAGATGTGTATAATTTACGTAAGGATGTGAGACCAGGTAGGTGATGTAGTTTAAAGTTATTTTTGAAGCCATGTCTTTGAGATCAGATGTTATGCGCATAATAAGGCGAAGCGGTCAGGTGGTTGAATACGTGGATTCAAATAAAGGGATAACCAGCAGAATTTTCTTCGCCCTGGAATCACAGGTTCAGTTGTTTCGGAAATATGGAGAGGTGGTGTGTATTGACTCAAAATACAATACCAATAAGGACGGGTAGGTTATACGTGAAACGGTTGAACAATCTTAATCAGATATTCTCTGTTTCAGTTGGTGGTAACAGACAATATGGGTCATGGCAGGCCTGTTTTTTTGGCATGGACGAGACGACAGAGGTCATGTGATGTAGCTTGGATATTGGAACAATTCCAAAGAATAATGCAGGATACGTCTATTACAGAAACTTTCGTAATGGATTCGGCCAACTGTGAGATATCCGCCGTGCGTAATAGTTAAATTCAGGCGAAAATCGTCATCCATGCATTTCATGTATGCCGCGCTTTCAGCAGGAAGGTGAGGTGAATGTAATTAATACTTGATGCATTTAGACTCGAAATCCGTTTGTACGCAGGTTTATATATCGTCTTGTTGAAGCTGCGACACCTGAAAGGTAAATGCATTGATTTCTAACCATTTATATTTCATCACTACCTTAGTGTTATTAGGATGGTCGATCGGAGGGTGTGGAATTATGTCAGGCATTACTGGGTGCCTAAGAAGGAGACGTGGGCTGCGACAAATATGCCGAATACTCTGTTGCTGTTTAATAGTACCAACAATAGAGTTGAAAGCTCTCACAGTCACCTAAAACGATATCTCCACAGAAGAGATCCCCTACACGCATTTAGTTATGCCTAGCCTGTGTCATTCTGCCTGGCTTTCAGTATGACTTCGCAAAGGAGTCCAACTGTTTAGTTTACCACATTCCATGCACCACACAAAGGTAGAGACATAAAACTAAATGGAAGTT